GTTTAGATCGCCACTGTATATTCAAACTAAAAATGATGAAATATTATACTCCTTAAGGTTACGTATTAAATTCTCCCTGTATAAAAAACCCAAATTATAAAGATATTTGGTAAAAAACACTTTTTGAAAACTTTCACTGAAATTGTAACAAACGAAATAGAGAATATTTACGATTCCCCTATTGTCAGAACGTGTGTAAAGTATTTACACCCCCCCCTTTTACATCCCCCACTCTAAACCAAAACAATATCTATATTATTTAAGACAAAATTGTTGTTACTCAGTTATTAATCCTTCTTCTGAAGATGTCCTTGTAGGTCGAAACTTGTTAAGAATTTAATAAAAATTAAGTGAGTGTTTTTTTACCAAATATCATTACGATCAACTTTCATATATGTAGTAGAGGCCAACTCTATCAATTTTCTCAAGAATACCAAATTATAAAGCCTTGTTTTAAACGGTCAGACTGAAAAAAAATTCAAGGAAAAAAAAGAAACTGCTTATTTATTTCGTCAAATGATGTATATTTAATGGGATAGGTGTTTATTGTACCTATTTTGGTTTAATACGATAAGTTTAAGAGATTTTTTATTTAATTTCACTTCACCGTCAGTAGTGACACTGGAAACATCATTATTAATTTAATGCAATTATACGATATCGACTGACGTGGGTTTTAAACGTGTATATGAGTTTTCATTTTGTTTCTATAGCGACGGGATTCCTATATAGTTGTACATATCCGTCATAGAATAGTATTTGTTATTTTGCAATCTCGCTGTCAGTGGAACAAACTAATAGTAAGGTAAACAAGTTGTTCTTTTTTCTGCACTTTTTGCTTCTTTTCTCAATTTTTTCCTTTTTGATATAATTCGATTCAATTTTTTGGATATTGTATATTTTTCTATTCCTTTTTTGACAATTCCAAACTGATATTAATGTTTAACGTTAACACTGCAAATTACTGAACAAGATCATGAGTATTGGGGATACAAAATTGGAAAACCAATTAGACCATTGTTAAGAAAGTTTCAAGAAATAGAGACGAAACGTCGCGAATCAACAATTGTTTTTTCAATTTTGTTTTCCCAATACACATGATCCTGTTGAATTATTGCATAAAAAGAGAAGTAATTTCATCACGATTGCAAATAACTTTAATTCGTTACGAATCGAAAACGAAACAATACGACTTTTCTTAAGTAAGTAAATCTATTTTAATTTCTTTTTTCTTCATAAATTCAATTTTCCACCTTTATTACATTTTTTTCACTTTTTTGGATTACGGACTTGGATGAAAGGTATTTAGCAAATCATATATTTAGCGTAGAAATCGATTTGTACATGAAAGTTCTGTTAAAAAAGTATAAAGATATGTTGTATAAAGTTAATTATCAGGTTATTAAGTTAATATCTTAATTACTGCTCATTTGGCATTTAAATTAATAAACTAAATAATAGAGTAACGGTAATAATTTTTTCCCATGTTATTGTTATCAATACTTATTTAAAATTTNATAGAGTAACGGTAATAATTTTTCCCATGTTATTGTTATCAATACTTCATCATCATAAGGTCGTCAGATTCGAACACTTATTTACCATATAAACCAAAAAACTTTACTTTATTCACTTATTGCAGATGTAAATGAAAGCGTTTGGAAACAAAATAATTTGCAATTTTAAAAACCAAAATGAAAAAAAATTTACGTAGACAAATGGGAATACATATTTCGAAAATATTTTTCAAAAATGAAGAGAATAATTTCAAATTTTATGCATTAGATATTGTATACATTTTTATTACATATACATACATATATGATACATGGTGCTTCTCGAAGTACTATTAGGTGGGAGAAGGAAGGTAAAAAATCTCAAACAAAATAATATTACACAGATCAATGAAACGAAGTATTAAAAAAACAACAATTAAATTTAAATTATCTCAGCAGTCAGCGCATCAAAATTTTTAGACATCCTAATTTCAAAATTCAAAAGTTGCAACTTGAAGTAAATGGAGAAAATAACCAATAGAGCAGCTATTTCGGAAGTATTTTTTGTCTCAATTATAATCTGGCTTCATAATATTTACCCTAACAAATCAAAATTTTGAAATATCAACTACAAAATCCAAATGGTGCTAATTTGACCTGTTTGTATTTGAGAATTAATGAAATGATAATGATTAGGGTTTCTCGGCACTTTTATTAGAAGAAACGTAACAGTGAAAATGTACACATTTCTGAACCAAATCAACCACTAAGGCTTTAAATTGTTGAGTTTTTTCCGTAATAATCTACAGCGTCATAGTTTATGGTGCTAATTATGTCTACCTCTGTATCAATGGAAAAACCAAACAGTTAAGCTTTTTTTTCGTGGTGAAGACCTTTGATAATTCATCATTCTTTTAAAACAAGGAAAACTCATTTCTCTAAAACATTTTGTGTCCGGAACACAAAGCGCAATACGCAGAACATGATGTATGTTTAAGTTCAGGTAAGTTTCGCAAAAATTGGTTTCTAATAAAAAATATAGAGATTAAGTAATGACAATGATGTTGATTCGAGGTTTTCTGCAGTTTTATTAGAGGACATGTAGCAGTGAAAATGTATACATTTCAGAACCAAATCGACCTCTAAAGCTTTAAATCATCGAGCTTTTTTGGTAGCTCTAAAATCTGCTTCCCCAGACCGCGGCTCTGTAGGGTTTGTTGGCGAATTCAGCACTGCCTGTATATTAGGTACATATTAATGGTTAAAATCAGATTACTGTTGCTCTGAGTAATTACTTACGATTTTCTTTTCAGTTAGAACTGCTAATAATAACTGTATATAGCGCAAGTCTGTAACTAATAACTTTATAGTCTGACGATTAGACATCTACCTATCGTATCAAATATTTCATCGGTAAACAGGAGGTTAATTAGATCAAAAAAATCACAACTCTAAAGCTATAAAAACTTACTAATTGTAAATAATAAATTCAAAGGGGGGGGGGATATTTCGAATAGCACTTTTATCTTCCTGTATCTGACTGACAGTATTTCTGAGCATTATCTGTTTTCCTATTGCAGCAGAGAATTCCGTAAAAATTTTAAATAATGATCAATTAGGACTGACGACCTTATAATGATGAAGTAAAAAGACTTAAAAAAACACTGATTTTTCACAAATTCCAACAAAATCAGAATATGGCCCACATTTGTTGCTAAATGTGTTAATGGACTCTTCGGGCACCGTCATAAAACGCTAATGCGATGCTTTTTTCAATAGGTCCTATTTTTGAAATAGGGTTTATATTAAACCATCCTTTAAAATCATGGGTTTTCTTTTAAATTAATACTGTTTATTATCAGTATCTTTCTATTTATTCGAAAAATTCGAACTTAGTCAAAATTTAATTTTACCCTTTTTAAAAAACATCTTTCTTTATTAAGCCTTCATGTACTAAAGTAAATTTTGTACATTTCATCGCTTCGCAATACTACTGTTAGTTAGAAGGTAACTAACTAATAAATTCTTCTTGAAAAATTTATAAGAATGAACTTTGCGTGTCCAATCATACACTACCTATAATAAGTAGAAGTACCTAATTATACAAGTGTAGTATTTACTTGTCTATCATTTAGGAAAACTCAATAAGAGTAAATTCTGTAAAATTATCTGTTTTCTAATAACCGTTCTTGTTATAGAGGTGTAAGTACATACTTATTTTAAGTTTTATTATTTTTTTCTTTTAAATAGGTTTAATAGTTGCAAGTAGGTATATATTTTCAAAATAATATTCAGTACTTGTTAAGTAATAAATTTTGTAAAACAAAAACAGAAATTTTAGTAAAAGTATAAATTAAAATGGATGTGGTACTGACAAAACAGTACTGTATGAAAATAAATTAAAGTCAGATAAGTCAGGACGGAAGGAGTAGTAGGGATATAAAGCAGAGGATAGCGCAGGGTCGAATCACCTTCAATAAAAAGAAATCACTTCTATGCTCGCGAACGATTAATTTAGAAATTTGGAAAAGGTTGTTAAAGTTGTATGTTTGGAGCGCGGAGCTGTAAGGGTGCGAAACATGGACGGTGGGCGCGGCGGGAAAGAAAAGGTTAGAAGCGTTCGAAATGTGGTGTTACAGGCGAATGATGAGGATAAGATGGATAGAGAAGGTTAGAAATGAAGAGGTATTAGATAGAATAGGCGAGATAGGTTAATAGGACACTTTCTCAGGTATGAAGGTCTAGTCAGAGACATATTAAAGGCAAAAACAGGAGTTAAGAGAGAGGTAGACCTAGATTAGATTATTATTCGCAAATAGTTAAGGATATGGGTTGTTCTAGTTTTAGGGAATGCAAAGATTAGCTCAGGATAGGAAGGAGTGGAGGTGCGTATCCAACCAGTCTTAGGACTGACGATATTTTGATGATGATAAATTAAAACAAAAATAATGAGTAACATTTTAAAATTAAAAATTAAATGCAGTAAGTAAATAAATTAAAAAAGTCAAAAGTTAATGAGGCATTTAGATAACTTTTTGTAGGATTAATTTTAATACATTAAAGTGAATTAATTTTTACCACTACAAATAACCTCAAATTAATAAGGAAAAATTGTTGCTACTGTCACGCCCTTGCCGGGAATGAAGAATGAAATCTCGCAAGAGTGCATCTCTCGTCATAGTACCAAAACGTAGGAGATGTAAAAAGCGTGCACAAAAATTACCCCAGTTAAAGAGCCGTCAGTGATTGAGAACAGTTAGTTACCGCTTTATCTTATCGGTTTTCAGCGAAACACACATACCTATTCGTGACTTTCTTAAAAAGGTGATATGTAGACAAGTCAATTGTACGTGTTTGCAATAACAAAGAATGAAGTGGCCAGTTTTGTTTTCTGTTATTTAAAAATTCATCAGTCTATAGTCTATACCGTCATGACGTTACTTATTGATCAAATCTATATGTTTGAAATTATTGGACGGTAACACTATTTAATTCTTGTTTCAGTGTGTTATGGAGACGAATTTTCAAAATGTGAGAGTTTTACAAAGTTTAACAAGCCATACTAGTGATGTCACATCTTGCGATTTTAGTACAAATTTTGTGTTGGTTACTGGTTCCAGGTAATAAGCAAATTGTTAATTTTTTCTTTGAGTTTTCTAGCAAATGTTTTACTGTTTTAACCCTTTAGAATGGTATGTAATAGTCTCGATATACTGTCAAAATTTCATTGAAATCAGCCCAACAATTTCGGCTATAAGTTGATCAGGACCAGCTTCTTTATATACAGTGTGTCTACTTAAATTGGCAACATAAGGGAAACTTTTTTAATAATTTGTCAGTCATATACAAGTTTTAGCACAAAATATGAAATTTGTGTAACAGTAAAGTATCTGTATTTTTAAAAATAGCAGAAACCTTAATAAAGAAAAGTTGTTGAGAATTACAATGTAGTTACAAATATGCAAACATATCTATCGATTGCTAAAATTATGATTTTGTATATTTCTTTATATTCTTGCCTCATATAAGTGAATACTTGCGCATGCACATTAACAATAATACAATTTTAATCGAAGTTTGATATGTTTGTAAGTCTTTTACTGAATGTCAAATATCAGTTTTAAAATTAAAAAAAAAAAGCAATAATGCTGGCGACTCTAAGTTTGGAGGAAAAATTTGAAATACTTTTAAATGCACACAACCGAATTGTTTAAAAATCTGCTACCTTAAGTTATCAAATGTGAAACCATTCAAGTTAATTACATAAATAATAATATCTAAAAATAATTAATTAACTTTGCGATGTTATTTTTATCAGGAGTTTCGTACAAGTATACTTATGATTAGGTAATAATGAGTTAATAACGATTCTCGTAAACAATGACAATTTGAAAATTTAGAAATTAGTCAAAATAAAGTGCGGTCACGACAAAAATAATTTCTTTTGACTAACAAGTCCAGAGGGATAATTCCCTGTAAGTTGACAGTGTCAATTTATCATTAGTCGTTTGTTTTTTCATAATTTACATCCATTTTTAATGCATCACATGGAATATTTAGTTATAGATGGGTATATACTACACTGGATTTTTTAAGCTGTTAAACGAGTCGAGCTTAAAATAAAAATGTTAATAAAAACAGCTATGTATAGAAATAATTTGAATTTATTAATAATTCCGGCATGATGCCCTCCCATATCACGCAGAGATATATTACAGGTTATGCCTGTATGAAATACATAAAATTCATTATATTGTTATGAATGAAAAGATACGTAATCTCTGTTCACATGCTTCCAAATTTTAAGAGAAGTGTAATGATCTATTAAAATTCTTAAGCATTAAAATTAATTAGTCTTTAATGAAATAACATAAACTTTGCCTGATTAATATGGGTACCTATGCCTTATGGATTTTTTCACGAAATTTTATTGATTGAAGTGTAAAATCCTCGATGGAAGTGGACAGTTTAGAAACGGACACATGTAGGGATATTATATTACATTCAATTATCAGGGCCGCATTGTCTTTTGAAAAACGCGACATGACATAGGAAAATTAGTACAAATACCTTCAGCCATCTTTTCATGTAAATAATAAAGCCCAATAAATGCAATTTAAAGCTTTTGACGGATGTTACGATTTGTTTAAAATATTTTGTGACTTGAATTAGTTTAGTAATTTTCAGAGTAGTTGATATTTTTAGATAAATGTGGTTGAAAAAATACAAGGTGTTTCTGAAATAAGTAGCAACCTTGTGAAGGTGCTAGCTAGAGGCAATAGGGAATCGCATGGCGAGTAAAGCAGCGTGATTACAAAGTTGTAATCTGTAGCCGGCCCTGGGCGTGAATTTGTAACGTATAGAGAAATTGCAATAACAACTAAGCAACATCGACGAAAAATGTAAACAGTGACGGTTGTGGAACGACTAAGTAATAAAGTAAATATCAACTGCACATAATAATCTTTAGTTGCCATTGCAATAACCATAATTTAAATAACTGCTTTGTTCATCGCTGATAGTGTGCAGCAGTGCTATTTAAACCACGCCTCAACTGATATTAAGAACACAAAATACGAAAAAATACCTGTAGAACATCAATGCTGCAGCTGCAATGCCCTATTTCCCTACGTGATCCTACCAGGGCCGGACTAAAAATTCACCTAATTTTCTTGTTTTATAGTGCCCTATTACCTCCTGCAAGTTTGCTACTTATTTCAAAAACATCCTGTATATGTATTCCGCATGTTCACGGAAATACGCATTTTCACTCGTGCGATACAAAAAGAAAAAATGCTGACAAAGAAATGTGTAATTTCTATTTTCCGTGAATGTTTTGCGTCATCAGTGCGTATGTGCTACTATTAAACACTAACGAAAAAACATTGTGTAAACTGTAGGGCATAAATATCAAACGGTTGGCAACTGTGATAACTAAGAAGAAAGGTAATATTTTCGTAGTTTTCAGTTTTACTTTTAAAGTATTTTTTCTTCAATTTACTTGTAATTGTGTCACTTATTGAAAATTGCAACGTATAATTAAAAATAAATGAAATTGCTTAGTGATAAGACCGTTAGAGTTTGGGATTGGATAGTAGGGTCAGGTTACTCGGAACGGTCGTATTCACCTCTTCTTGGCCACAAATATTCAGTAACATGCGTCAAACTATCACCACAAGGGTGCATGCTGGCGTCCTCATCGGTCGATGGAACCACAGTACTATGGAATATGCATTCTGGGTCAAAAATACACGTTTTCGTACAAATTAATGGTGATGCTGTTCGAGTGTGCAGGTTTGTATTATGAACTTTTTTTTTGAGTTTAAGTTATACTTCCTTTGGCGTGTTGAGAGTAAAGCTCGGAAATGTATTCCAATTATTTGATTAGCCGTAATTTAAACAAGTATACAATTTAATCAAGTTTAAAAAAAAGATTAAAGAAATGACTTTGAGAAAGTTCAGAGACGCAGCCGGGTTTCATGTTTGCGTATAACCTAAGACGCCTTGAGATCGGGTGTTATCTCCTGTCCTGGTGTGCATGCTATTTTTTACTTTCCTCTGTCAGGAAATGAAATTTTCTTGGGTATCGAGGTAATCGAGAGAAAAATCTCAAAGCAATAGGTGCTTTTGCAATTCCAGGTTAAAAATTTTATTTATTAATGGAACCTATCTACATACAAGAAATTCACAATGCATATACAGTCGAACCTCGATAAGATAAAGACCAAGGGAAACGTAAAACAATTTGAGTTATTGAGGTTTTTACTTACTAAGGGTTTAAGTTTAAACTTTAAAATTATGGATTTCCAGTGATTTAGTAAACTCTTCAGCTTTTTCCTTTAGTGTAGATCCACTAACACTAATGTTTTTACATATTTTTACACTGTCTAAACCATAGACATATATTAATGGACGTGCCTTAGCCGTATGTCGTTGTAATAATTTCTTGGCTCCAAAAGTGAGGGAGATGGCGTATGGTTTCGGACTAGTGCTATCTCTTTCATGACACGCTTACGCACTATCGTGAGAGAGATGGATATTGTCCGAAACTTCGTTCTATCTCTTTCTTTTGTTGTACCACAATTCTGACCGCTAAGGCATGTCCATTAGTAAACGTCGATGGTCTAAACCATGTAAACAAGTATTTTTCTAAATTAGAAAATTCAGCAATTTTTCGTCTTTTACATGGAAAGTTTTCTCCCGATTCAAACCACTTTTCATTTACTGCTTACTGAGGTGCGCTGCCCAAATTATTCGTTTAAGTTATAGAGGGTTTTTATTTTAAGTAATAGAAGTTTTGGACTCCGAGGGGAAGGGAACACAAAATTTTATAGAGGTTATTACGTTATCGAGGTTTAAGTTATCAAGGTTCTACTGTATGAAATAAAACCTAATCAATAGTATCACAACTTGCACTTTTTTTATTATACTTTTTTCTTCTTTTTGTTTTTCTTTAGAATATACTACTAACAATAGTAAATAGTGTGGAAGTTATCAATAATGTTTTACTTTATTTCTGCATTAAATAAGAATGCTGTATAGTGATGAGCAAAGCAATTCCAAGACTGTCCTAGTGCTTTTGCTTATTTGGTCTTGGTATTGCTCAAATATTTCTAGTCTTAGTCTTGGTCTTGTTCATTTAATCTGATACTTACGTTTTTTTTTAATAATTCTCAACACAAATGTTTCTATTTACCGACAGAACAATATGCTGAAATGTTTTGTCATATATTCGAGCTTGTTATGACCTTTAAAGAAAATAGTGTCGATAGTTGTGATTTGTCACTACTCGAGAACTTACCCTTGTTCCAATGCATAAATTGACCCTTCCTCCAATACACAAATTGACATTTTAGCGAACAAAACAGTACAAGGTACTTGAAAGAAGTAAAAATATCGAAAAAAAAAAATAGCTTGTCTCTATATTTCAACTGTGTGGTATCCAGACATTGGTAAAGTTTGTTTTTTATATTTAATATTAAAATCTAATAAAGCAAACTGAAAATTTCAAATACTAAAAAAGTTTTGTTTCAAGAAAAGAATATATTAAAGTTGCTTTATGTAGTTTATTTCATAAATCCATCGAAAGTAATCATTTTTCGTTTAGTCTGCGTATTTCGTTTTGGTCTTGTTTATATGGTCTTGGTTTTAGTCTTGGTCTTGTTCGTTAGGTCTTGGTCTTCTTGGTATAAAAACAGTCTTGGTCTTACATTTACGAAAGACCAGTTTTGTTCATCACTAATACTGTATAATTTTCCTTAAGCAAAGCGTCCTAGGTTATATGAATTGAATGTTTGCAATATTAAATTTTACGTCATACTGGACTGAGTTAATATTCAGAATGAGATAGCACATGGTTTGAAACTATTAATCCATGAGCCATGGGCCACCTGTACCCATTCTCTAAGAATGTTAAAAAACATTACAAGACTTAAATACTTGAAGGTTTACCTTAAAGTGTAATAAATATATATCGTGCAAATCAATTTTTCAATCAAATAATATAAAATATCAGAAAATACCACAAATGGCGCGGTAAACGCCATCCGTAGTACGATGCTACATTTTAGGATTACGTATGCTCCAACAAGGTCCATTTAAATATATGGATATCTACCTCAACGTGATAGGCACGTTACCATAATCGAATAAAATAATTCGAAGTGATCTGTATTCCGTCGAAACTGCCAGACGCGGATCGAGATTTCGATATTTTTGGATCTCATCAGCGCGTCGCAAACAGCTCCGACAGAATACAGACCACTTCGAATTATTTTATTCGATTATGGTAACGTGCCTATCACGTTGAGGTTAGCTACGCCGCGATTCGTTTCAGCAAGTAGATATCCATATATGTAAATCGACCTTGTTGGAGCATACGTAATCCTAAAATGCAGCATCGTACTACAGATGGCGTTTACCGCGCCATTTGTGGTATTTTCTAAAACGCGCTGTTAAGACAGCAGGTAAAAATTGGTCTGTAATGTAGCATCGTACTACAGATGGCGTTTACCGCGCCATTTGTGGTATTTTCTAAAACGCGCTGTTAAGACAGCAGGTAAAAGTTGGTCTGTGTTTTGTCGGAGCTATCTGCGACGCGCTGATGAGACCCAAAAAGATCGAAATCGCGATCCGCGTCTGGCAGTTTCGACACGAATACAGACCACTTCAAATTATTTTATTCAATATAAAATATCACCTCGATATTTACAACAAAAAAACACAATGAAGCAAGGTTATATTCGATCCTCAAAAAAACGGCGTTCTTTTCAATTATTTTAATTTATTATGTTGCTTAATTCGAAGAGGTGAAAGCTACAATTATTTTTTAGATTTTCCGGTGATAGTACAATCCTAGTAACTGCAAGTGACAATGGTGCTCTCTGTGTTTGGGATGTGATTCACAAGAGTTTAGTTAGGTACTTTAAATACAAAAAAGAGACATATTGTTCAATGTAAATTTCAATGGTTTTCCCAATTTCAGAACAGTCACTGATAGCGAAGGTACAATCCAATCATTGGCTTTTACTCCCGATTCTAAATATTTGGTTAGCGGATGTTCCGTAGAAAAAATTAAAATTTGGCTTGTGTCCAGTTTGGCAGATACTACGAATGATTTTTGTCTGCCACTTTATTCCGTTGACAATGCACATGATTTAGGAATTTTGTATTTGGACGTATCCAAAACAATAGACGTAGATGGTATATTATCATTTTATTTTTGATGTATTATACTTCTGCTCTAACGTGACACAAAAGCAATTAATCTAAAGACACCTTTGAAAATACAGATTTTGGTTTTTAATTTTTCGTGTAGAATCTACTAATTAAATTCATATTGTGATTACCCCTTGATATTCTTAGCCTTAGGGGTAAGCTGGCATAACGTGTATGGATTGGAAGACTTAGACCGAATCCAGCAATATTCGAGAAAAAGATTTTATTTTATCAAAACTTAGGATAATTTCAATTTCAAAGAATATAGGCATTTATAAAAAAAAGTAATTCTTCGTGAAACAATAATAAGTTTTTTGTTTTGGTGAACCTGTAGATCGAATTTAGTTATTCCTAATAGCGGTCAAGTGCGCAACAACTCTTAATTTGTGAGAGGGTGCCCTCGAATCACTAGTGAGATTTTGATTTATCTACAGATGAGTTACGTTGGCAGAGTTACGATTGCACTGCTCGTGCATCCAAGTAGTTCTTTAGTCAGTAATTCGTAGTGGTAAATTTAAAGCTATTTTAAAAGATGTAGCTTCATTTTCTCAAAAGTTTTCATTATGCTCTGGGACCTGTTCGTGCTACATTTAGTCAATTTCAAGTTGACCTTGATTCATTGACATCAAACCCAAAATAGTTTCAAAAAGTAATTACTTATTTTTTTTTGTTATTTATTTGCGTGTCCAAGCAGTCTTAGGACTGACGACCTTATGATGATGATGCACTCGTTCATTTGGGTTAAAATGGTTTTAATAAACTTGGGTTTTTGATGGAAAAGAAGATGCCCATCGCGAATCACCCTGGGACCCCTGTTGTTGCGCCCATGATAGCTGTTGCGATGAGATTGTGTAGTATCATGTATTAGAAATCCCTGTGCTACGAGTTGTCATACTTACGTAACTATGCCAACTAGTTCCACTGGGATATCCAAAACAAGATGGATATAACACAATCCCCACATTAGAAAGAAAAGATTGTAAGTGCAATCACAATGCAACAAACCAGACATCACCAGCGCCTCAATTCTATAGGGTTGTTCGGAAAGTCATTTCGTTTTTTTTTGTGGAAATGAAAAACAGTTTTCGTATAATAAACAAATACTTTATTAAATTATATATTGACCGTTCTGGTCCAACACCTTTTGCCATCTTTCTGGTAGTAGCATAATTCCACGCTCATAAAATTTTTGGTCTTTGCTGGCAAAAAACTGATCGAGGAGGTTTTTGACCTCCTCATTTGAGGTGAAGGTTTTACCGTCTAAAAAATTTTGGAGTGACCGGAACAAATAATAATCCGATGGTGCCAGGTCTGGAGAATATGGTGGGTGTAGCATTGTATCCCATTCAAGCTGTAAAAGCTTTTGGCGAGTGACCAAACTTGTGTGAGGTCTCGCGTTGTCTTGGTGAAACACTACACCTTTCCTGTTGATTAGTTCTGACCTTTTCTGTTGAAGTGCATCATTCAGTTTGTCCAGCTGATGACAGTAGACTTCCGAATTAATCGTTGTGTTATCCGGTAAAAGCTAAAAAAAAACGATTCCTTTAAAATCCCACCAAACAGACAGCATCACCTTTTTTTGGTGAATATCGGCTTTGGAAATGGTTTGAGCCGGTTCATCTTTTTTGCTCCATGACCTCTTGCGTTTGACGTTGTTGTATACAACCCATTTTTCGTCCCCAGTGATGATGCGCTTCAAAAACGGATCATTTTCGTGACGTTTGAGAAGCGAATCGCAGACGTCAATGCGGCGACACAGATTTCTCTCTGTGAGAACATGGGGAACCCATACATCGAGCTTCGAGGATAATCCCAGGCCTTTCAAGTGGTCATAAACTGTTGAATTTGATAAATTTAACCTCAATCCGATCTCACGTGTTGTTATTCGCCGGTTCACATCAACTAATGCCTTTATCGCGTCTTTATCAGCTTCAACCGGCCTTCCCGAACGTGGTGCATCTTCGACATCAAAATTGCCGGATCGAAATTTAGCGAACCAGTTCTGGCACTGGCGTACTGTCAACACACCTTCTCCATACACATCAGTCAATTTCTTTCTGGCTTGAACAGCATTTTTACCCTTTCTGTAGTAAAACAGTAAGATATGTCGAAAATGCTGCTTATCGCTCTCCATATTTAAAAGGGCACCAACCAAAAACTACTGCGTAGAATTAATTAGAATTTTTCACACACAAGCCTTGCTATATGAGCTCTCAAAGCATATAAAAATTATACGGCTTAAATGTGAAGTTGGGTGCAAAAGAATACAATTAAATCCTCTGTCGGGAAAAAACGAAATGACTTTCCAAACAACCCTATATATTCTATCGAAAGGTTCACCAGAAGAAAAAAGTATATCCACGCTCTATCACAAATGATAGCAGTGTATCTTCATGATGGCAGTAAGTTGAAGTTGTATTCCAACTAGTAGCTTCGGCCAACTAATTCGATCTCTCCGATTTATTTTAAATTAAAGAACTTATGTTTAGCCATATAAGAACGATCCCCCCCTTATCTATAAGGTCCGAAGCTTTATTTCCTTTAAAGCCCCCCTAAAGACAGTATGGCTTGGAAGCGATGAATGCAAATCATTTTTGGTCGCTACACTTTTATTGACTTTTATGCCACGTTAAAGCGCATAAACAGTGTATAGTATTTGTCAATGATTTTAACCCCTAAATAACGAAATGGGTGATCTACGGTAACCACTTGCTTATCTTTGTAAGACAGCAAGTAGACTTGGATTGTCTGTGATAAATAAAATCAGCTATGTATTCATCCCGAAGTAGTTCATTCATGTCTCATAACATACCAGAGGTCAAAGATTAAAAAACTTTTCAGTATCGGCCTGACAGTATGAACTGCAACATTTCAGAAAATCAACTAAAGTAACAATATTCAACATCGACAACAATTTATAATCTGATGACCGTAATTTCATTATTTAACGGACAGATTTTTTGCACTTTATAGTCATAAATACTTAAATTTTAAGACACAATAGTGATCCGAGGTGCAATTTAGCCGCTCTGTCTAGTATCAAATATTCATACACCCAAAGTTACATAAGGATGTTTGGAAGGTATGTCAAAAGCTACGAGACAAATATAAATTTGGAAGAACGTTCCTCATTCAATTCTAAAAGTCCTGTAAAAATTACAAATCGATTCACTAAACCGTTAAAAAGTTATTGAATTGTCAAAAGCTACGAGACAAATATAAATTTGGAAGAACGTTCCTCATTCAATTCTAAAAGTCCTGTAAAAATTACAAATCGATTCACTAAACCGTTAAAAAGTTATTGAAAATTTAAAAAATTGTAATTTTACACGTCATTTTATGGAGATTCGTTAACCGAACAGATTAAATTTATTTTTATTAACAGAAAAAAAGCTACCAGAAATTTCAAACTTTTATAATAAGTAACTTGAACTCTGGAGAATC